CATACGCACACACACATACGCACACCTGACATACACATACACACATAATGACACAAAACCAGGGATCACAACACTGTTTATTAATATTAACATGCAAACACACATAAATATGAACACAAACACACACGTGATACCAACCCAACCAATAAATCCCAAAGCAAAGCCTTTAATGAACCCTTTTTTCAATTACACAGTTTTTATCCTCATTATCCTGCTTATGTAAATACCACAGAGGACATGAACTGAGTCATTTATGAGTAGAAATTACTAAATAAATTAGTGATATCATTACTGGGCACACACAAGTTCCCAGCCCAGGTGGACACCAGAAGAATACTACTGCAGTGGTGAAACATCTGCCAAACAAGAACATAACTTCTTATAACATTAAAATGTTACAAAGAACTCTCATATAATCATATATTGAGCAATTTAACATGCACTGGTCTTCAATCTTAACCCTGCAGGGTTGACAGTGTGTCATACGGTCAGTGCTCAATACAAAACCCACAGTTTAACTAACAATGAATGAGTCCCTATCTCAACAGAAACAATCATTTTTGGGATCCAAGGAAGCAAACAATACTCAGAGACAACCACTGGCCAACCAAAATAAAACCAAGTGACTTCAATGGACAAGTTTAGTCTGGCCAGTGAGCTGCTGTCAATCTCAAACTGAACTATGAAATTCAGACTTTTTAGCTCTTTGCCAGTGATTAGCAAGCTAACCCTTCACTCTGTGGACTGGACTGCTTCCACTGGTGAGTAGAGGTGCCCCTTTTGCTTTAAAAAAAATGCCATTGCTGGTTGATGTACAATGCGCCAATACTGGTGCTCCAGCACAAGAAAGTTGCCACACTCTGCACAGCATACTGCAAAATACAGAGATGGAGCTGGGGTGATAGGTACACACAAAACACACATACACAAAAACAAGTTTTACAAATGGTTAACACACACATACACACTCCCTGTTGGCCATGGCCCACACAGACAGCTCGTCATCCTCAGATATGACAAGAACCTTCTGTCGATATGAAACCAGACCGAAGCTCCGCTGCGTGCATTTATAAAGGGATTCTTGTATCTCCACGTGGGATTTGAGAGCCAGCTGGCAGTGATATGTTAAACCAAACACACGGCTACCTACTCCGCCTTCATGCCCCTCGTGCCCTGACCCTGTACCCTGCAAACCCCCCCTGCCGATGGTAATCAATGTAAC